TACTTAAAAGGGGGCAACTTCAGTCAAGGGTGGAGTTCGTTAGAAAAAAGAAAAACATCAGAACTATAGATATAGCACTGGATAGATAATATAACGCGCAGAACTTCGAAAAATTGCACAGACTCACCAAATTGAACCAGATATATCCCATAAAATATACATCCAAAACCTGCAGATGGAAGGGTCAGTGGTAACAGAGTTTATGTAATACTTCCAAGGAAAAATAGTATCTCACAAGTATTCTTATGTGCAGAATGTGAAAATTCAACAGTTTCCGGTAAAAATTGTGTGTAAATAGTTTGTATACGGTTTGAAAGAATTCGACCGAAAATGTAGCGTCTCAATTCCAATTGCGTGGTAGCGTCACTACACTAGCTACTAGTGTGACTTGGCACAGTATGCGAGTAGGTGGTGTCGTTGTTGTCCTTGGACTCTATGTCCTTATTTTGTTTTCAGTTTGATTGCCAGCATAGTTTTGAATATTATTTACCTTAAAGCGTGAGTTATTCTTGAGAGTCTGAATATGTTGGGGATTCTTCGCAACAAGTGGCGTATTTCGGCATGTTTTGTTACCGAGTTCCATTTGCGTTGTCACGTTTTGGCTAGGAGAGGATGTTGTCAGTTTACAAGAGGGATTGATTTCCATCTTATGGCTGTTCATAGACATATCTAGATCCACCGTAGAGGGAGGAGAGGTTACTTTAGGAGTAGGACCATAGCTCACAAGTCTTTCGTTTGGTTTCGTTTTCTCTGGAGCTATTTTTGTGAAATTTGAGAGGGGGGAGGCTATGAGTTCTACCATGTTGGCGGTGTGTTTATCTATTTTGGTGGCTTGCGGTGTCTTGCCATTAGGTTTATTAAGGTGATTGTAAGCACGCCTTTCAATCACTGTCTTATCTGCTACAACTTTTACCTGTTTGTAGCTTGTGTCCTGTAATAGGATACGTTGTGTGATGGTGAATTTTTAAGCCTCTCTCCGCGTTTCGAACTGAAGGCGTATAGGACAGCAATGGTCGTGCTGACCCTCCTTCAGTCTGTGACATTTTGTTTGGGAGTTAGGCACTTTCGCCTCCCTGAGTAAGATGTTTTGAACCTTTTTCAATCCCTCATTATCTGGTATATTATAGACAATCGCACCTAGTTTAGTATCAAGTCTTTTGATAACCTCTGTTGTGATGAAGTTTATCAAGGTGTCTACCTTTGTTACTGATTCTGTGTCAAGTTCGCCAGGGTTTATGTTCCTAGCTAAGATGTTCAGAGGGGCAAGTTCACAGACCTGTGATTTTATACCACTAACCTGTGTTGATAGTTCAGATGAGTTGGCCAAATTTTCTGAAAATCCTGCATTCATAACTTTCTACACCTTGTGTCCCGCATCTCGGTCTTCAGTTCTTCTACAGACAGCTTTAGTCGTTCTATTTCTGAAGTAAGTGTTGGAGCTGGACTTGGAATCTGAAGTTCTGTGACACGTACATAAGGTGAAGTGAAGATGTTTATGTCAGGACCAGGTGCTGAGTTTGCAGAAGCGATGCGACTGCTGTTTGTCAGCAAGTTTTCG